TCTAGGTTTAGATATATGTTGCCAATTAGATGACATTGATGGATGAGAGGCACTTGAAGATTGTGGGAACACAGATGTACTAGCGGTCTACGTCCACTACAAGAAAACATGTCATATTTCTACAAAATTTCCTACGAAATTATTGGTAGGTGAAAATTTTAACCAATTTTCAACAAAATTCTGACGAAATATTTAAATGGTAGGAAAGTAGTAAGTAATTTCCTACGAAAAAAATACATTAAAAAATGGTAGGAAAGTTTCTACCAAATTCCTTCTAAATGTGAATTCGTAGAAATTTAGTCAAAACTTAATAAGAAAAAGGTAGAAATAAACTAAATATTAGGATGGTAAGAAAATCGTCGGAAATTTTTTACCATTTTTCCTATGAAAAAAATATATAAAAAATGGTAGGAAATTTTCTATCAATTTCCTACTAAACATATATCCGTAGAAACTTTGGTCAGAAATTAGTAAAAAAGACGTTAAAATTTTTTTATCATTTTTCTACCAAATATCATCTGTAGGTAAAACGTAAGAATTCAGTAGAAATATTTTATAACCTAAATTTATACACGAGAACCTTTCATTTTCCTTACCTCTTTCATTCTAAATGGCCGCCTCTTTTTTTCATCTCTTCAGTTTTTTCTCTTCTTTTTCCCCAAACTTCATTCTTCTTCATCTAATTTTTTAAGAAAAATCACAAAACTAAGCTTTTGTTATTTTGGTGGAAACAAATGCTGCTGTGTGAGGACGAGATCCGGTGGTGGTGCTCCTTTTGCGGTGCTGTCATGGTGGTTTTTCCTTGTTGAGATTTGAAGGATAATGTCCGGTGAGACTGGTGGTGATAGATCTGGAGATTTCGTCCAAGTTCTACTTCGCCTCTGAGATTGGTCGAAAAGCTTGAGGCAATGGTCATGAATCCATGAACGGCGGTGTCTTTTGCAGCCACGAATCCATGAGCGGCGGCGTCTGGGTTGATTGTAACCTTTTGCGGCCATGAATCCATAAGCGGCTGTGTCTCTCCATTGTGTAGGGTTTAGGTTTTTTTGTTTTTTTAATTTTTCTTTGGTTTAATTATTTAGTTTAATTGTTTGGTTTAATTGTTGATTTAATTTTCTTATAATGTTTAATTTATTATAGTGTTGTATTTAAATAAACTAATTGTTTTGATTTTGTTGTAAGAAAAAAATTGGTTTATATATAATACAATTCAAATTTATAATTAATATTAATTTGTTAATTTCAAATTTAATTTTCGAAATTAATTTATTTTTGAAATTAATTTAATTACTTTTTTATAATTATCGTAAATAAATCGTAGGAAATATTTTGTAGAAAAACAATAGAAACTGTAGGAAATAAGAAAGTAAAATATCGTAGGAAAAACTAATCGCAGGATATTAGTAGGAATTTGGTCAAAAATTTCTGACAAAAGTCCTACCAAACTGTCCGTAGTAAATTTCCTACGGAATTTCCTACGACTTTCCTACCAATTAAAATTTTCGACGGCCGATTTCCTATAACTTATTTTGGTAAGTATTGAGTAAGAAAGGGCTGTTTCCTACGCTTTAACGACGATATTTGCCGTAGGTTTTTGGCCTGTATTCTTGTAGTGATCTTTCTCTTTTTGGAAGGTGGCTTTGTGCTATTTTTAAAAGTTGTCTTTGTTTCCTTGTAGTTTTCTTGGCAACTGGCTTTGAAGAGTTATTAAGAGATGTTGTGGGAGCTGTACTTTTGGCTGATCTGGGTTGCCTACGAACTGGTACTTGAAAAATAAGAATGGAAGTGGTTAATATAAGAGTTTTGAATAGTGACAATGTGAGATCTAAAACTTACCTCTTGAGGGTTCTTACGAGGACGACCTCTTTTGTTCTTTGGTTTTTCAACCTTGGGTTCATTTTTGCATTTAGTTTTGTTATGGCCAACTGGACCACAATGTGAACAATGAACCGATCTCCCATGTCTTTTTGACTTCGCTTTTTAGGTTGGAGACTCATAAGGATCCTTGTTTCTTTTGTAAGTCTTTGGTCTTCCAGGTGGCCTACGAAAATCAGGCACTAATATTGGGATCCTACCAGTTTTTTTCTACAATATTTCTCCATTCACAGGTCTGATGTTGTCTTCATAAGTTCTCTTCCAAAATTCTGTTGAATAGTATTTGGAGACATACTTGTTCATATCATCATTGTTGTCATTGATGACACAAACGGCATGTTTGAAAGGAAGACCTGTAACCATTCCAGTAAAATGTTTTTACATCTAAATATCATCACCTAAATCAGAAAAAAGAACAATACCTGTAAGATCTCATCGATGACAAGCACATTCACGAGTTGATAAGATTACAGTATATCCATTATCAAACTCATTAACCTCGTACACCTTCTTCGTACTGCGTAAAGTTGAACAATACTTCCCATCAACCCTTGACTTTTCCAAAAGTTTGAGTGTATTTGGTGTAAGCATTCCATCTGATGGTTCTGCTTCTTTACATCTCCGAGCTATCCTCTCCATGTTCTGTCTTCTTATAGTTTCCAACAGATTGATAATTGGCTTCAACCTTTTTCCCCTTATTATCCTGTTGAAACTCTCAGAAAGGTTGTTGTGAACATCTGCACACTGTGACTCTGGATTGAAAAAGACTCGACACCATGTCTCTGGGTTAGTTCTCAACAAGACTTCATGTGCTGCAACATCATAGTCTTCGACAGCCTTCATCCTCTCACCATACTCTCCTTCGTTGTAAATGTACGCCACAACCCAAAACAGAACTTTGTACTCTGAAGATGAGAAACTTTTTTTCCAATTGAGCATTAAATATATATTTAAGAAAAAAGTATAGAAAACAAACCTTCTGCTTGTCTGATATGATGGTGATTTTTTCGCCTAATCCCAAGCCAAAGTCTACTTTTAACTTGCCCACAAACCATGCCCAACTTTTATTGTCTTCAACCCTCACAATAGTCCATGATATTGGATATATTCTATTATCTGCATCCGTTCCAGTTGCAGCAAGCAACTCACCTATCAAATCCCATCGACAAAAGCATCCATCAAGCCCAATGATAGGTCTACAAACCTTTTTCCAAGTGTTCTTCAGCTCTTTAAAGCAAATGTAGATCTTGTCAAACACTTGCTCACCTCTTAAAAAAACTGTAACAATCTCGGTGCTAACACCTTTATTTGATCTCATCAGTTCTGCTTCATAGTCCCATAACTTAGCAAATTGTGTGGCTTAGTCGTGAAGAACCACGTCTAGTGCCATTCTTCTAGCTTTTGAGCATTTCGACCTTGAGACAATGCAATTATACATTTCCTTGATTGAGTCTTTGATCTCATTTGCAGTCAGGTAAACCTTCCTTTTTAACTCTTCTCTATAAAGACTTACAATAACACTTTGTTTCAGCAGTCTCACTCGGCTATTTTTGTTGTGATTATGATTGTTGTGGCACACTTTTACCGTCCAGTTGTTCATAGGAATTTCAACAGAGCAAAAGACCTTCCATTTACATTTTTCAGTACAACAAACAGCAGCAATCCTACGAGCCTCAGACTTTGCCATCACATCGAATTGTGTCTTGAGAGCATAACGCATCAACTGGCTTTTAAACTCATCTCCTCTATTGAACGTTTGAAATTACCAAAGATATGGTTCTTCCTCATAGTCCATATAAAGCTGATTTTTACCTCTACGCTTTTTTGGTTTTTCCGTCAATCTTTCTAATTCTTTATCAGTATCAACCAGTGTATCAGGATACGGCTCATCTCCTAAACCATATTCAGTGTCACTCTCATTAATTTTTTCTTCTCTAAGAGCATGAACATTGTTGAAACTCAATTGGGTCTCTTAATAAACTTTTTTAATATTTTTTATTAAAATAGAAAGAATAATGATGAAACATGTGTCAGGAAAAAGGTGAGGAAGGAAAAAATATTTTTTTTCCTCCATATTGAAGAACCAATCATATGCATTCACATGTTTTAAAAACGTCTCTTATGCGTTCTAATATAAGCGACGTGTTCTCTACTTTTACATAAAACACTGATTAAAATAATAATATTTATTTTTAAGAGATGCTGTAAGAGACAGCAATGTTCATGGTCTAACATCTATTTTTCCTACAACTTTTTCTCTAAAAACTCTATCTCCTTTAGAAGCTTCTCCATTCTCTGCCTCTTCAAGCAAAGAAATAAAGCGACCATCAGTTTCAGCGTTTCCTACCTCTGGCACAACATATTCCCATCATCGACCTGATTCCCTATATTTTTTTCTCCTTTTTCAGTGATCTCATTCTCTGATTCCACTACATCCATGTCATCCTTAGGTCTATCTTCATCATAAGCATCTGCATCATACTCCTCTTCATTAACATCATAATTCTCATTATTTTTCTTCTCACCATTTTTGTGAAATGAACTATGAAGAGATATTGATTCTTCTCCTTCACCCATTTCTCATTTGCAAAAAGTTAATTAGTGTTTGTTAATACGGTTTTATTTATAATCCCATATTGTTGCTTTTAAGAGTACTAGAGAGATTGTCCACGCTAAGCGCGGTTTTGTTCTAATGTTTTTATTTTATTAGTTTTAATTTATATGTTGGTTTTCTAAACTTTTCTGATTATGATAAGTTACTTTTCTTGTTTTTTGTTTATTTTTGTTATAAGTAATTAGTTTAGTTAAGTTTGTTTTGGTACTACTAATAAATCTATCAGTTTTGTAGTATGAATTTGTAGAATTTGGCATGAGAGACTCTTAAGCCAGCTTTAATATTTTCTTGTAGTACAAATTTGTAAAATTTGGATAATTGACTCATAATTCTGCATGTCTGTCTTTTTGGATAATTTATCAACCTTCTGAATTGTGCCGCAAAGCTCTTCTCCGCGCATTGATATAAACTACATACATATCTTCTTATTACAATTGCAGCTGATAATACAACAAATTCATTGTTTTAGCACAGTGGATTCAAACATGGGTATGCCAATTGCGAAGGAAAACAAAAAAATGAGATTATCCAATATCGAAATAACAAATGTAAATTGATTGATATATCAAATATAACCAGAGCAAATTACAAAGGAAAGCAGGTAACAACATGTCTCCACCAAATCAATTCCTACCGAGAGGGAGTGATCTGCAAGAGTAAGTCTCCCTGAAATCAGACTTCTTCTTGGAGGAAGCAAAGAGGGAAGCGTAGACTTCCTTGGTAGCATTAACCGGCACTGCATCTCCCGCCTTGAATTTCTTCACAGTAATGCCATTGCCATTCACATTCACATCATCCATCTGTCTCTTTGCGACCTTTCCTCCTGTATCAGCCACCACGGCTAAGCCATTTTTGCTCTTCTTTGAGGCGCCTTTTTTCTCCCTCTCCTGCTTTCTCCCTCAAAATACCAACCTCCTTCCTCTGTACCGTTTATCACAATCTTATCAGAATCTGTGACATCTGCGTGACACACCAAACACGAAGAAGACTTCACTTCCTTCAACGCCTTTGCGCTCATCACGTGTCTGCATCCCCTCTAAGCGAAAAACTTGTACTTTCCGTTGAACTCAAGCCCTGAAACCGGGCACTGAAAATGTTTTAATGGCTTGAGGCTTGAGATTTACACAATACCATCGTTTTCATTGTCCACTGTAGCTGATTAAATAGCTTCAGAAGTTTGAGATTGGATTGATGAATGTCTTGAAAGTTGAAACTTTGTATCATCATCTGAACATAGATTTGATAAATACAAAATTTCACTAATTTTCTCAAATTGATACAATTGTGGAATGTAACACAGAGAGCAAGAAATATACCGTTTGGTGTTGGCTTAGCCATGATTTGCGTTGTTCCTGTCTGTTTGAAACCCGAAGATGAATCAATTAAAGATTTCTTTAAACCAAATTGAAGAAAGTGAAAGTGAAGTTTCATAAATATTGGTCGTCATCTTGAAGAGACATCATAAGCGTCTTCGTGAATCCCGCAATATGCACCAAATTCGCTAAATTCAATCAATTCCACGTAACTTCAGAAATTAGAAACTGAGTCAAATCACCACATCTCTTTGAAGTCTCCTCACAGTGTTAGAGAACGAATAATTCTCTCTAATCAGATTCTCCTGCACATTTTGAGAAGAAATTGAATGTAATTGGTTAAAGAAAAGTTTCAAAACGAATCGTTGGGAGCTTTTCACCATCGGCTAGAGAAAGCTTATGAAACAAAATAAGAAACCAATACATACCTGATACCTCTTCTTCTATTGAACTTCACTTGGTACCTCTTGAAGTAAGCATTCGATTTGTGGGACTTCACAAACACCTAAGAACACAAAATTTCTTACTTTATTATTCTATACCAAACAGAAATCAAATCTTAAGATCCAAACAAAATATAAATCATCTCGTCAGTGAGCACTATAACAAAATAAAAAGCTTATGAAACGCGTCGGAAAGGAAAGCGTCGAGACTCAACGTGAGACTGAATGATTTAGTCATGATCTGTTGAGGTGGTCACTGAAGGCACTGCCGGGATTTGAGTTATATATTGCAGAAACTTGGAAGCTGAACCGAAAGAGAAGGAAGACGAACGTGGTAAAACGGCGTTGAGAGTTTAGGCGAGGAAGAAGATACGCTTCTGGGCTTTCTGGGCTTCTGTTGCTTTCTGGGCTTCTGTTGCTGTCTGGCCACAATGATAATGTGAAAATATTCAGTGCTGACGTGGTATTGCGAGAGAAATTCTTCGGAAGCTGATGTGGACAGGGTGAGGAGCCTCAAACTTGTACTTTTATTAGAATAGATTTATATTTTTAAAAGGTGAGTAGTGATATTATGGATAGCAAGGGTCTCTTTTATTTATTCATCAATATAAAAATATTTATGAATTGCTATTAATCAAACCTGAAATAGAGAATAAAGATAGCAAGCTACAATAATGAGATGAAACATTATTTGGATGATATCGATCACAAGCCCGTAAACATGGAAGTCTTAATTGTAGTAATATATATATATATATATAGTTTTTTTGCTTTTTTGACCAAAGGCTTTCAATTGTATATATATATCTTAGACCTAACAGTATAGTAGTGAATAGTTTTCTAAGAGAAAATCACAGAGAAACATAAGAAAAAACTTTTAAAAAACCTGAAAAATAAGATAACTCAATATATGTTTCTACAACATTGGTTGGATTCAATAAACTAAGATTTTTTCATGATTCCCACAACAAAAAAAGAAAAGAAAATATTGGTAATAAATATGAATGAATGTAGTTTAAATATATATTTACACCACATTACATCAATTGAAACTTTCCCATATGAGATACTTAGCCAATAAAATTTGAAATTAGCATCATTCGTTCAGTATTATTATTATTTTCATACTAAAAAAATACTTTTTACAAAAATTTTCTCTACTAATATTCACATAGTTTGATTTTTTTACATATTTATTGTTTTATATAACTTAGTAAAGTTGGATCATATGACCTATTCTTGCACTATTATTTTTAGTGCTATGAGAGCAATCTTGGGACGCGACACCGAAATAACAAAGTATTCTGCTCAAGATCTTGTTGATTTCACAAGAAAGTCGCCTGCTAGAAAGAAGAAACCGGGCCATGAATGTTATGTTTGTCCTATTTATGAGGGGTTGGTGTATGTCAAACATAACGGAATCCAAATGGAAGCAGCACACCCTTTTGATAATGCTTTCTGCAAAAAAAGCGTTGAGCCAAGGAGTTATCTGAACCTAGCGTATATCGACGATGTGAAGGAATTGGACAGCATCGAAGAGACACTTGATACAGTAAAGAAGCATCCTGTTGCGGCTACCATACCTATCTTCGAGCCAGAGTTCTCGAGCATTGGAGAGGTAAATTCTTTAATTTGCAGAAAAACAAACATAATTGTGTAATTTTCTTTTTTTATTCATACATTTGTTGATTTTGCAGAAAATCTACTGGAGACCCACTTCTACGATTTCAAAATATGTTAATACGCATGGCATTAACATTACGGGTGTGGGTAAAGGGGAAAATGGAGAAAAGTATGTTTGGGCGAAATCAAGTGGCGGGCTCAAGTTTGGCGTTGGTGGATACTTGAAAATATCAATCGAGATGATGATGATGTGCCTTACCACCGGTAGGTATGGGCCATTTATTGACAACCCATTTCCACCTCTGTCGAAATTTGTGTACCCAACTCTTCTCTCCAAGGAAGCCGAGGAAGCACGCCAGATCCTGGACAAGGAGAAAGAAAGCAAGAGGCTGGAGGAAGAAGAACGCAAGAGGCTGGAGAAAGAAAGCAAGAGGCTGGAGGAAGAACGCAAGAGGCACGCTAGAGGCTGAGACAAGAAATTAACTGAAACAAATTTGTGTGTGAGCAAACAAGTTAAGCAATTAAGTTAGTTTATACTTCCTTTCTGATTCTTGCGCGTTCTTATAGTTAATAGATCAAATTTCTGTTTTTCTATTCCCAGAAACAGGTGAGCATTAATAATATTTACATCCAATTATATCCCTTAATGTGCATTTGAATTGGTAAAATGGTTTTATAAAAAAATTAAAGCCAATGGACAAAGGACGAACACTCTTGATATTCAAATCAAAGTTAAGTTACAACAACAAAGTAGTAGCAAGACGGGGATGTACGAGAAGTCATAATTACTTGAGTAGCACACAACAAGCGAAACATTGAGAAAATAAAATGTAGCCACACCATCTGGAGAAAGAACTCTCACGATAGTTAAAATGAGATACATAATGGGACGATAGGGATACTTCTTAACACATCAACATCTTGAATTCAAGCGACATCTGGTTTGGTTTTCCAGTCGTTGTTCTCCTTGTGACGGTATGGAAGGGAAAACCGTGACGGGTTGAGAAGGTAATGTAGAAGTTTGCATTCTCCGCCTTGGCCTTCATCTTCGGCTACGGCTCGAAAATTAAAAGTTTGTACCTTAAGCAAAGACAAAACAAAGTTCGATTTAAAGCAAAAAAGAGAGATTAATTTACCTTTTGCATATAGTAGCAACCAAGTCCAACGTGACCCAAGAATTCCTGTTTGAGGGAGTTGAGTCAAAATATATAAAAACACAGACATTTGCATAAACAAGAGTCAGTAGTAAATTACCGTAGCAATAGGATCCGCCCAGTCTACCTTCTGGGGATCAGAACATATATATATATATATATATTCGTACAGATAACATACCGGCATTTCTCCCGGAGGCGATGGTTCATATTTTGGTGAATGCGATGGTGGTTCAAGGTCATCATGACAGATTTCAGATTCTGAAGAGGGCAAGGATGTTTCAGATTCCAATTCCTCCTCTGGTGGTACAAAGTTGACATCTGGAAAGCCTTCACGGTACTGATTAAACAACTGAACACTTCAAATCAAGCTCAAAGCCCATTTTTTTCAAGATTATTAAAAGGAGTAATCACATTTCCATTGCTACTAGCAGAAGTTAAGGTATCCCTGAACAACTGTGCGACCGATGTGACTTTAACATACTTCCTCACATTCACCCTCTTCTTCTTCCTCCTCCGTCGTAGTCGACTTAGTCTGAAATAATGCGATCTCAATACATCCACGACAAGTCTTATGCATCATCAATTCATTCACTATTTTTATTTTCTTTTTTTCTTTTTATTCACGAAATGGTTTTAATAATTTTATTTTCCTTTCTTATTTTTATTCATGAAATGGTGTAATTATTTTATTTTCTTCTTTACCAAAATTTTGTTCAAGTAGTCAGTCCTTCAAATCCAAAAGGGAAAGAAAGCAAAAGTTAAAAAATACCATGTCCACGATAAATTAATCGATTCAGCATAATCACATTTTAGATAATGACCCGCGAAATATGCAAGTTTAAAAAGTTAAAAAAATGCAAGTTTTTTAATTTGATTAAGTTAAAATAACGATGGTATGTCTAATATTAAAAACAATATACATACATTAGCTTTGAATATGAATTAAAGTATAGTGGTTTTTATTACTTCGTTGATTAATGGATTGATTCCAAAATTAAGAAAAAATTCTGGAAACAGAACCTTGTGAACTTGTTTCCAATATTAAGATAAAATTTTATCCAAAATTAAGATAAAATTCCAAAATTACTTCGTTGACTTGTTCACTCCATTTCCAGATAAAATTCTGAGTTAGTTGATCAGATTTGACATGTATAAAAAGTTTATTTTTTTCAATTAGAAAGTGTCTAAAAATTTTGAATACTAATAACGAAATGAATTGTATTGGTTGGAAGGTTGTTAACAATGATAAATAGCAATAAAAAATTAGTTTCGGAAGATAAGTATATATATATATATATATATATATGGAAAAATGTTCACATGCTTACATGAAAGTTAATTTTAATCGAACACTTTCAGTATTTAGGTGGAAGTTTCAATCTGCTTCCTGAATCTTCATGAAGATTTCCCAAAAAAAAAAAAAAAAAAAAAAACCGTATCTCCCGCGTTTGCCAGTAAAAAAAGACTCAGAGAACCTTAATATAGGATTTGGAGAAATTTCATTGACACCACCAAATAATTAAGGGAAATCTTATGGTTATCCGTTGATTTACAACTTCTACATCTAATAACCATCTGCCACGTATCTATTAGGCATATGTAAAAAAAGAAATAGACGAGAAAGAAAAAAAGAGCCTTTGTGCTCAAAGAAAAGAGGACAAATTTGAGATTTCTTTTTCCTTACGTTACCTCCTCTTCGACTCGAGACCCATAACAAAATAATAAACAAGAAAATAACAAAAGAAGTAGAGAAAAGCCTTTTGATCTTTCCTGAATCAATTTGGAAAATCATTATCGTTCTTAAGTTTGTAACCCGGTATTTATTTATTTTTTTTATAAATTTATCTTGTCTTTTTTTTTTGTGGTTTCTCAACACAAAGAACGTGTTGTATCTTGTTCTTGTTTGTTTATGTATTCTTGAATTTGCAGAAACTCGTAGCTCTTGGAAATCTATATGTTTCAATTTCTTTGTTGATAGGGTTTTATCTCCTCCAACAAAAAATGTAAGTTCATTTTTATTGATTTCTTAATATGTTTATTTCATTATAGGATTCGATTTACACCTTTCTCTATTACAACCTTATGTACAACACGAGTAGAGAATTGTAACTTGTTTAAGAGAAAGAAAAAAAAAGAAGAAAAACAATTTGATTTACGAAAAAAGTTTTTTGAGTTTTGCTTGGTGTGCAAGTTAGGTATGCAGCTGCAAGTTGAACATGACCTCACCAATGAAGGGTCTATTAAAAGGGTTGAGGTACATTGCTCGTATCTTCGGTGAGTTTTTATTAATTTTCGGAACAAAATTCACACATGCCTACATACAATCACCAAGAAATAAAGATTTTAAAATGTTGCGTATAAATTGTTGCATGCAGAGGATGAGAAGGAACCAGAGATGCAGATTGGAAAACCGACCGATGTAAAACATGTTGCTCATATAGGATGGGAAGGGCCGTCTGCTACGACCCCAAGCTGGGTATATATAACCTTACACTACATATATATATATATATATATATATATAAAGATTTGGTTGTACATCATGAGCTCATACATATTTCTTTCCATGGGAATCTACAGATGCATGAGTATAAGTCTCCAATGGCTGAGGCAAAAGGAAGTTCGAACAAGAAACCTGCGAGCTCCGGGGAGAGGCAGAGGAACAAAGGGAGGCGTAAATCATCCACAGGCACAAACAACTCACCTGCAGAGTCTCCAACAAGGGTAGGAGGATCAACAAGGCCATCAAGACGTAGCACGGGTAAACAGAGAGATCAGAGCACAGGTTCAGGGTCAGAGTCAGGTTCAGGGTTAGACTTAACTCAACAGAATGATCAGTCTATGGGATCGAAACAATCGAAGCAGAGAAAGTCGAAAACGTCAACAGGAGGAGGAGGAGGAGCTGGAAAGTCCAAGGAGACAGATATATCAGTGCGGGCGGTTTATCCTTGCGTGGGTCTTGGAAGTTCTACAGGAAGATGAGAGATGAGAAAAGAAGAGAGTTTTTTTCTTTCAAGTTTAGACTAGAGTGGTGGTTTTGCTTTTCTTCTCATAATGATCTACACACTTTTGTCTTTTCTCTCCCTTATGTTGGAGATATGTCTTTGCATAACTAAGACCTGTATTTTTTATTGAGCGATTTGGGTCGAGAAGAGAGAACCCTTTGGTTATGAATCAGGGATGTGAAACATTTGCTTTGTTTACTGATTTTGGTGATTGTAAAATTATTACCAAGCAACCTTAATATTGTGTTCTTAGGATACAAGGTTGTATCTAATAACTATTCAATTAGTATAAGCTTGAGCCTAGCATCTAGTCATCTACTAGAATTCGATTGTTAATTTGTTGCGTTTGCAAGAGGTAATTTTATGGTTTAAACGGAATCACAATTATTTGTATATTAAACAAAACTCATTTATAAAATTGTAAACACAAAAGCCAAAAGTAAAAAAAAAAAAAAAAGTTGGTGTTGCATTTTATCGCTAAGTATGGATCTAAAATAAAGGTTAGAACCATTATAAAAAAAAACTCTAATTTAGCGGTGATAAATGGATCTAACGTTAAAGCTGGTAATAAAATGCACTTTAACATGTTTATACGTCTAGATAGTTAGAAGAAACTCTACTTGGGACCGGTTTAATTTCTCAAACAAGCTGCTGAATTATGAGATGAGGCTTGTATCCTACTAGTTTGTACTAGTTTCGTTACAGTGCATGTTAAGTTAGATTCAAATCCGAAAATATACGTGTGTGAGTGACTAAAAAAAAATGTGTGTTATACAAAACAAATCACCAATAGGAAAGTACATTTCTATTCGCTCAAGACACATATTCAAGCACAAGACATTCAATATTCTAGACCGTGTTTTGTTCAGCTGGACCCCTTTATTTAGTATGGAGTATTAGTCGAGCATTCTTCATGTTCTAAGAAAAGGGTAAAGCTCATACCTAAAGTTACAGCTCGTACTCAAAACTCTACCTCCTACTTTACCATCACAACACGTTGGAAACTCTTCCAAAATCCATTTCAAACATTCAAGGCAACTGTTGAATACTAAGTCTTTCGTACACTGGACCATTGCATACAGATTAGTCGTCCCAATCGTCTTCTCTCCAGACGCGTACAGCACCAGCGCGATGCCATCTACGTTTTTTGTATCAGTGGCTTTATAGGCCAGGTTCTCAAGGAAAGCTGACGTCTCTTTATTAAACGACACTGGATTTCCATTCACCTTGTTCGGGTTGGACAAATAGAATTTATTCTCGTAATCGATCTTCCCGGAGACACGGATCGTAGATATCCTCAAAAGACATTGGTCATACCATATTATTGCTCCCTTGTTTCTTGGACATCTCCTACGAAGCTGGCATATAGATATTGACAACAAGATCAAGAACAATATTGCATGGACTAGTATACGTATAAATATAATATATACTCTAGCTTTTCTTTTTGGTACTAGCCATAATTAATGCCTATTAGTTTCATCTGGATTCAGCCATTCAAGATCCATGAAGAGTATTAGGATCGACATTTACTCAGGTAAGATGTAAGTATGTAACAAAAGAATACATTTACACTTACTCATGTAACTTATATTTATCATGGGCATTGTTCCTCTAATTGTCAGCTGTAAGAACTTATATACATTTAAGACCTTAGTTTCATAAAATCAATCTATATTTCCTAATATATGAGCCCCCTAAAGTATGGATCAATTTATGTAAACATATTTTGGGCTTGTGCAAAAATGTTTTTGACATATGCCAAGAATCGGTCATGCATGTAAATAAGTATGTGACTGCTAATTAATAATACTGAAGTGGCTTTACCCCAGCGATGGCAGTGGCAAGGCAAGTGCGGCACTTGGACCAATAGGAGTCGGCCCGGCATTGGAGTCGGGCGTAGACTTTATTGGGACCGTCGCCAAAGGCCGTGTCGTCGAAACCGTCGCGAAAATTACTAGTAGTAGAGACTGATCGGATTACACGGTTGAGGTTATCTTCGAATGGACTTCCCTTCTTGTATTTCCCTTGACTGTTGATGCATTCGTGGTGTAGATACTCATTGGTGAGGTTCAGGGACGAAACGCTGCGTGGAAGAAGTTGTATGGTCACTATGGCCAAGATAGGAACTAATCCAACAAATGGGGACATGTTTTTGATATGTTTCCGAAAGACAATTTCTTTTTATAAGAATTTGTTTTATATAATATATATATATATATATATATATATAATTTGTCACGGACAGGAAAGAGGAGACTTGGTATCTGCGGCGATGGGAGAGGAGGGACCAAGAAAAAGTCAAAGTTTGAATGTTTGGTAACATCCAGTGGCAAAACTTTTGATGTTATTTCTTTGGACAAAAGATGAGGAAGAGGAGAAGAAGGAAGATCGCGAAGGAAAAAAAAATTGATTGATTTAAAATGGTATTAATTAATTTACATAGGAAAAAGTAAAATTAATTGTCAAAAAAAAATATACAATCATGATACGTATGGACTAATGGACGTAAACAGTTCGTCTACAAAGGTGATATTTTCCGACAAATACTTGGGTATAATGTAAAAGAAATAAACAGAAGAATGTTATCGAACATAATAAAATGCAAAAAATGATATTGAGGATAATTACTTTAATTTTTTTTATTATGTGATTTGGGTCGAGAAGAGAGAACCCTTTAATGATTATGATTTTTGAATCAGGGATGTGAAAAAAATGCTTTGCTTAGTGATTTCGGTCACTATAACACTAAGCTATTAGAGTGATAAGAGTTTAGGATTGGAAGAATTGTATATTGACTCTCATGAGAATAATTATTAGGACTACATACATATTTATACTAAAGATATTTCTTAAACTAAATAGATACAAATCTCTATAATATCTAAATAATAACTATACAATATTTACTAATAATATTATGAATCTTCTAGATCCTTCTATACGCTCCCTCAACCTCAAGGGGGAATGGAGAAATGCGGAATTAGCGGCTTGAGGTTGACCATGAATTGATCGAATTAAGGTGAGGAGTCTTGAGATCAACTTGCTTTGGACTCTTTATGGGCTTGACTTTGACGGTAGTTAAAAAATATGTGAGTAACAATAGAACATGTGGAGCCATGAAAAGATGATAAAGTGACAGACGTGGCGGTGAGAGGACCTTGCGGGAGAGAGTCACAAATCTGATATGGTGATGTCAAAGACACCATGGGAATCAAACGGTGGATGCTTTGGGAGACCATTGAAGGAGACGCTTCAACTATGCGTGCAAGGAAGCACTTTGGTTTCTTGATGGAAGCACTTAGGCAGTGAGCCATGGTGGAGATCATAGATCTCGTGTTGGTGACATAGTTATAAGGCTCGGCTTGGACCAATGTTTTGGCGGTGCAGTGGAAGCACAAAAGGTGTGATGAACCTTGTCTTTGAGGAAGAAGAAAATTAAAAGAAGCTGATGGCTGATTGATTTTTTTTTGTTTTTGTTTTTCTTTTGGATTAAAAGCCCATTGGTTTGAAAGAGTAACTAACACAAAAATCTTGTAGCTTAAGAAAACATGAAGCACAATGGCTTGAAAGAGTAAGAAAAAGAAGCACGATGGCTTGAAAGTTGAAGCTAAAAGATAATTTTTTTTTTAACAATTAAGATTGGAGAAGTATTGTAGTTTTGAAAACAATTAAGAAGCTCAAAAATCAAAGGTATGTGAATTAGATTCAGAGGTCCATGATAGACTTGAATAAGAAGAAGCTCTATGGCTTAGATTCAGATGCATTTAGGTTTGAATTAGAGAAGCATTATGCTTAGATTCAGAGGCACTTATGAAGATGCAAACAAGGTTGGAGCAGCGCGTGTAGCAGTCCGACTAGCTCTGGAACTGACACGGAAAGACTTGCGTAGCAATCTACACACGTGGAGGTGAGCTGGAGCTGCAGGACGTGCTGGACACTTCAAGAGACAAGAAGCTGACGTGGATAGGAAGCTTGGAGTATCTTGGAGGATCTATGAAGATAATATCGAGTTTCCTCTATCTTAGGAGAAGATAAGGAAGGTGAAGATTCTCATGAAGATTTGGTGTAATCCGAAGGAGAATCTAGGCGAGGATCAGCCGCAAGTCCTATTGAGTATAAATAGGCGTGTTAGAGCTAGGTAGAGTTTTAACACAACTGAGAGAATACTTAGCAAAGGGTGAGCGAAAATCTGTGAGAGTTTTCGTGAGCTAGTGTGCTAAGAGATTTGGGTGAGAGGTTCTTGAATCACGTATCGATTCAAGAACAAGTGAGACTAGTGTAGCAAATCAAGGTGTGTCTTGAGGTTGCTCTAAATCGGGTTCTGTATACTTGTAAGTTACAAACAGATTTACTAGTGAGGTATCTTTGAAGAGAAAAATCCTTGTGTTGTGTTCTGTGTTAGTTCCCGTATTACTACTCTTACATTTTCAACTTAGGCTTGAATAAGAAGCTCGATGGCTCGGATTCAGAGGTTCATGTTGAACTTGAATTTTAGAAGCACTTGGCTTAGAAAAGAAAAAGAAAAAGAAAAAAAAAAGAAGTTTGATCGCTAAATCAAAATTTTGGAGCAAACCTGCTCTGATACCATATTAGAGTGATGAGAGTTTAGGATTGGAAGAATTGTATTTACTCTCATAAACATAAAGGTTAGGATACATACACTTATATAGTATTCACGTTTAACCTAATTACTAACTAATAGAATCAATACAAATCTCTAGAATATACTTTCATAATGTCTACAATATCTTTGGATATCTTTCTAGATATATGCCCCCTCAATCTCAAGGGGTGATGGAGTGAAGCGGAAGTGACGGCTTGAGATTGACCATAGATAATGATGAGATCGTTGTGAGGATCTTTTGGACTAGACATTTGTGGGCGTCTTGATAAAATGAGTTCTTTGAAAGGTAAGTGGAGAAAGATACTCGTTGAAGAGAGAACCGTGGCAGACTTTGCTTTTGTTGGCGATTTGCAAGGGTGTCACGGACAAGCATGGTGATGAAGGTGATGGAGGGAGGTGAGGTGAGCACTGCTTTGCAAGATAAGAAGATGCTGTGAAGCTTTTCCTCTTGTTTTTTTTTTGAGAAAAAAAAATAGACTAAAGAAAAAAATAATAATAAGAAGAAAGCATGTGGCTTAGATTCAGAGATCCATGATAGACTTGAATAAGAAGAAACTCTATGGCTTAGATTCAGAGGCACTTAGGCTTAAATTAGAGAAGCACTATGCTTAGATTCAGAGGCACTTAGGCTTGAATAAGAAGCTCGATAGCTTGGATTCAGAAGTTCATGGTGAACTTGAACTTTAGAAGCACTTGGCTTAAAAAAGAAAAAAAAAATGAAAAAGAAGTTTGATTGCTAGATCAAAACTTTGGAGCAAACCTGTTCTGATACCATATTAGAGTGATGAGAGTTTAGGATTGGAAGAATTGTATATTGACTCTCATGAGAATAACTATTAGGACTACATACATATTTATACTAAAGATATTTCCTAAACTAAATAGATACAAGTCTCTATAATATCTAAATAATAACTATACAATATTTACTAATAATATTATGAATCTTCTAGATCCTTCTATATAAGCAACCTTAATGTTGTGTTCTTAAATTGCAAGGTTGGATCTAACTATCCGATTAGTATAGGCTTGACCGCTTGAGCCTGATATTTAGTCATCTAGTAGTCTTCGATTGTTTGATTTAAACACGAGGTCTTTTCCATGTTCAAATGAAACCACAACTTGTAGTATATTAAACGAAACTCATATTGTAAAACTGGAAAAACAAAAGCCAACACAATGTATACAATATAAACAACATAGAAGAAAATAGATTTCTATTCGTTCAAGACACTTATATTCAAACACAACACAATGCGTATATTTTAAAACCGTGTTTTTGGTTTATGGACTCCTTTGTTTAGAATCAGTCGAGCACTCTTCACGTTCTAAGAAAAGGGTAAAGCTCATACCTAAAGTTACAGCTCGTACTCAAAACTCTCCCTCCCGATTTACCGTCACAGCATTTTGGAAACTCCCTTAAAATCCATTTCAAACACGCAAGGCAACTGTTAAACGCTAAGTCTTTTGTACACTGCACCATTGCGTACAGATTCTTCGTCCCAAGCTTCTTTTCCCCAGCCGCGTACAGGACCATCGAGAGGTTATCTACGTTTTTTGTATCACTAGCTTTATATGTCAACTTCTCCAGGAAAGCAGACGTCTCTTTGTTGAACGACAGTGGATTTCCGCTCACCTTGTTCGGGTTAGACAAATAGAATTTGTGATCGTAATCGACCTTTCCGTAGCCATGGATCGTAGATATCCTCAAAAGACATTGGTCATACCATATTATTGCCCCCTTGTTTCCCGGACATCTCCTACGAAGCTGTCATATAGATATTGACACCAAGATCAAGAACAAGATCAAGATCAAGCTGTCTTTTCTTTTTTGGTACTAGCCATAAATGCCTAATACGTCCAAGATACATGTAGAGTATCAAGATCATCAGATATCTATATGTACATCTAAGATGTAACAAAAGAATACATATACTCATCATGTAACTCATCTAAATCATGGACATTGTTCTCTAATGGCACCAGTGTATATAGTTAGAGCCAACGTTTATAACAGAAATCTATATTCTGTAAAATATGCATGAGTCCTAAAGTATGAAACAAGTTATGTATCGTTTAAACCGGGCAAGCATGTAACTAAGTTACCCCAGAGATGGCGGTGGCAAGGCAAGGATGGCACTTGGACTAGTAGGAGTCGGCTCGGCATTGGAGTCGGACGTAGACTTCATTGGGACCTTCACCATTGGAGGTATCATGGAAACCGGTGCGAAGATTGCCAGTAGTAGGGAGGGAACGGAGGAGACTGTTGAGGTTATTTTCGAATGGACTTCCCTTCTTGTATTTCCCTTGACTATTGATGCATTGGTGGTGTAGATACTCATTGGTCACGTTCAGGGACGAAACGCTGCCTAAAAGGAGGAGTTGTATGGTCACTATAGCCAAGACAGGAATCAATCCAACAATTGAAGACATTGTTTGATATGTTTAGGGAAGGTAATTTTTGTTTTTTTTTTTGTTTTTTAATAGGAGAGATGTGGCTATTAACCGGAGATGATTTTTTTTCATAAGAAATGTTAGTTTTTTGTCACGAACAGGAGAAGAGAGAGGAGACTGAGACTTGGTATTTGCGGCGACCGGAGAGGAGGGCCCATGAAAAAGTCAAAGTTCGAAAATGACTGTCTTGTTTTGGTAACATCAAGTTGTTTGATTTTTTTTTATTATTATTTTTTTGGAAGTGATTTCTTGCATGCTGATATGCTTTGAATTTCTATTAATAAGTTATAAAATTGTTTGGATAAATAGTCAATCTTGATTTATGCAAAAGCATAGAGGTTTGTGACATTCTTCGAATATATTCTGTTTTTTAATATAACATTTTTCCTCTAAATTAGTATTTTTTACATAGCATTACAAGATTCGTCTAAAATAAATATTGCATGGTGCTCAATGATTCATGTGAATATTAGGACAAACATCTATATTCAAAATTTATGTTTTTTCATTAAATGTCATGTATATAGATTGGACTGATATCCATGCATGTTTAGTCTATTTGAAAACACTATCCACAAAAGACTAATCCATAAAACACGTTTTACTATCACAAAATCTGTAACGCCATTAAAAGTATCAAAGCTAATAAATTTTCTCTATTTAACTTGGTTTTTACACAGGTGTACTAATTCATAAAAATGGGTTATAAGAACATAAATCGGTAAATCGGTTTAAAAAACATCAGTCCTAATTGCGTACCATAATTGTGCAATTTTATTTTATTTTTACTGTTCTTTTCATTTGATGAAGATTCGAACTTTGCAAGGTTTCAAAAAAAAGTGAAAATCTATTTTGGTTACCATATACATTAACAAATTTGTTAGCATTCCCACCATAAGTAGATAAACATACCTTGTTTTGAAGAGATTACTTAACAAATTCAACTTCAACATTGTGTTTTAGATTAGCATTACCACGAATAGAATATCCTTTGGACACCATGAGGGGATTATTAAATGATGGGTCTAATGATTCTGAATCCAACTCTTTCCATAGGTAGACTGTGTTCTTTTGAATTATATATCTTAGTTTATGTGTTTATAAATGGTGCAGATATCTATACATAATATTCTTTTAGATTAGTTATCCAGAAATTATAACTCTAATCTAGAAAACACATTTTACTGTTACATAAATTATAACTCTAATCAAAAGTATTGAAATTAATTAATTTGTTCCATTTAAGATTTAACTAGTTTTGTAGTAATAGATAAAAAAAAAATTATGGGTTTTGACAGGTCAATACATCAAAAAACGGTTGGAAAAAACATTGATAAATCGGTTTGAAAACAACAATCCTAACTCGTCTCGTCCGTAAATTTGTGGCACTTAAAATTTTGATTTTTCTTGTTTTAGTCCCAACGGGAAATTTTATTTGAAACTCTCATATTCTTATTCTAATAGAGACAGTGTATAAAGCCCAAAATCGTTAAACCAGCTATGGGCCTGAAATTTACCGAAGGCCCAAATTCGTCGTTTTAACATTTAAGGGTTAGGGTTTCTTAAAACTTTACTATAAATTCTGTTTTCTTTAAGCAACTTCGGCTAGCGGACGACAGCACACAAGCTTCACCCGAGATCAGAGTAGCGAAAATGGTAATTGTTTCTTCCTTCTCGAGTTGATTTTGTATTGGCGTTGAGCTCGTTTCGATATCTTACTGATTCGGATTGAGAGACCTGTTGAGAAACAAAAATGCATTGTGGATTGATTTATTGTTTTCTCAGATCCATAATTTTGAGTTTTCTCTCAGGCTAAATTGTCTTAGGATTGTTTAATCGCTGCAAGTGACGAGAATTAGTGAATAGATTTCACTAGAGCTCATCACTGATGTTCTAGTTTCATTGTCGAATCTTATAAAACACACTCTTTGTTGTCTTTTCTGAGCAAGAAAATGATTTGGTTTCTTAGGAGAAAGATAAGCTGAAGTAAATAAATTTAACTAATCCGTGTGTTATACGAGTGCTTGATTGTCATTTTCTGTTAATCTTAAAAAGTCTCTTGATTTTGTATGTGTTGAAATGCTTCCTTGTGCTAGTTAAACTGAGGAATTTTGTTGTCTATGAAATTGTAGGTGAACATTCCAAAGACAAAGAAGACTTACTGTAAGAACAAGGAATGCAAGAAGCATACATTGCACAAGGTGACCCAATACAAAAAGGGTAAAGACAGTCTTGCTGCTCAGGGGAAGCGTCGTTATGACCGTAAGCAATCTGGTTATGGTGGTCAGACTAAGCCTGTCTTCCACAAGAAGGTAAAATAATCACTTCTCTCACAGATGGTTTTGTATTTCAGAATTAGGACAGCCAGCTAGTGTAGTTAAATGAGCAAGTTTTAGTTATTTAGTCAGTATAGGGAACCATTTAACTTGTAGTGTTTGAGACTGTTCTGATCTTTGCCTACTTATTCTTTCATTTCCAAATCATGTGAAAGTGAACAACTTTTGTCAGTAATCTTTATTTGGGTTTCGTTAGGCGTGAGAGAAAGAGAATATATCCGATAGAATCTTTTTTTTTGTGTGGCTGAGATGTATGTCTTTGTATTCTTTGAACACAGGCCAAGACCACGAAGAAGATTGTCCTGAGGCTTCAGTGCCAAACCTGCAAGCACTTCTCTCAGCACTCCATCAAGGTAAAACGAGCAGTCTCCATACATCAATTGTTATTACTAGATTTGAATCTTTGTAGTTTTCTTACATTGTGTTGTTGTTTCTATCAGAGGTGCAAGCATTTTGAGATCGGTGGAGACAAGAAGGGAAAGGGAACATCACTTTTCTAAGTTGGTTATATCTTAATTTCTACAAGTTTTGTACTTCGCTGGATCTTGATTCCATCTGTTTTAGCTCTCGTATAAGATTTGTCTCATCTTTGCTTGTTAACTCTATATTTTGAATCATCAAGATATGGTTTTGCTGTTAATCACTGCACTGAAGTCCATAAGATATTTAACTCGCAAGCCAAATTTAATTCATGACTTTTTCAAATAAGACATTCATTTACTTGTTCAAACGATTTGTACAAAACTCATGAGGCTGCTTCAACAAGCAGAAAGTATTTAATCTTTACATTTCAAGACACTTTCTTTAAGCAATGACAAATACCCTAAGTTCACCTCTATCCCCACGAGTGATGCGCAAGTTATCATCAACATATGTGACTTCAAAATCACCAGTTCCAGGGTTTGACGGTGGGCGGAAACTGTCGGGAAGCCTCGGGATATCAAACGGAGGAATCTGCGATAAGTTTCCCGATGTCTTCACTGTTGTTTTCTGAAATGTGATCTTGATCTTGCAAGTACCTGTTATGTAGACTGACATTAGCTCTAATGTCTATACAATGCAAGCATAACATAAAGCCAGAGTGAGATGCGAACCTAAGAGTTCGAATTTGTGAGCCAGTGTCGCGGTGGCTTCCAACGGCGGAAATGGCCAAGGAGCTCCTATTTCCACTTCCGCAATGTTATCGAAATCTTTGCTAAACACATCAATCCTTTGAAACACCTGGAACATGAATCAAAACACCAGAGACAGACATGTATTAAAAAAAGTCCAATTTCTAGTGACTCAAGGCAGGTTACATTGCCAAAACCTAGAGTCTTGGCTCAAAGCTCAACCAAGAGTACCGATGATAGATCAGACCATGCACTGAAAACCCGAAAAAAACAAACTTTTAACGAGTAAAACACAGAGCAACGATTCAAGAATCAAAAACATACCTGGCCAAGAGTTACAGGAATCAAACGACCAGTGGGTAGTCCAGGACGGCTACCACCTAAAGAACGAGAAGAGAAGGCACTGCTATACAAGAGCCTCCATTTACCTTGGAGCTTGTCAAGATCATCGGTTAAATCCACCGGTCCACCAGCGGTTTCAAGCTCTTTAGCAGCCGCCTCGGCTCTCTGTAGATCATCTATACTTGCCACAAGTCCCCTGTTCAATCCCGAAACCACACTCTGCATTTTCACACACAAACACACACATACATCATAAACTGTAATCTATTGAATTTTCCAAACATACACTTATAATCAGTAGCCAGCAAATTGTAGAAATCTCTCAAAAGATAGTTAAGATTTTCTCTCTAATTTTCCCCCATAAACTACACTTTTGGTTACCAAATATACACAGTAATGAGAAACCTAATTTTCCAAGCTTCACTACAATCAATTACAAGCGATGTAGCGACCACAGATACACAGTAATTGAAAACCCTTATCCCAAAGACATTGCCGAGAAATGATTTCGTGATTAGGGATTTTTAATGTCAATTTCTTCTAATTAACCGATTTTTTGTCTTCCGAATTAAATCAGACTCACCAGTAATTTGAGTTTCAGCGATTCAACATCTCCTGATCCAGATGTTGACGGTTCGCGAAAGGATACCTCACCGACCGTCGAATTCACGGCGAGATTTCTCCTCTCCGGTGAAGCGAAGCTCAAACGAGACGATCTGGGGAAGCTAATGAGCACCGGCGATGAAGAAATAGAGCATCTGACGGAACAGCACGGCGGCGGAGATCGGTTGTCGGAAAGGAGTGCCGGTGGTGCAGGTAGCAGTGAGGAGAAAGTAGTAGAAGAAGCCGCCATAGGAGAAAATCGCAGAGAGAAGAAGAAGAGTTTTGAGATATTTCTAGAGGAAGTGAAGAAGAAGAAGAAGAAGCATCTACACAAACAGAAAAAAAGAATCTTTCGTTTTTTTTTTTATGTGATTTGAGAAGTAACCACGAGTGGGCGCGCAAGCTGTCACGTTTCTATATACGTGTATATTAAACAAAAACATCATTCGCAGCTTCATATTTTTGTTAAACGATGTCGTTTTTCACATATCTTTGTTAAATTTGTTTCGGGTGTATTTGGTGATATTTATTGGTTTAATAAAAATTATATCTTTGTGAGATTACAACAAGGGCATGAGTTGTCATTAGTACTTAGCAAATGACAACAATAGTTGGTATGATATTTGGCATTTTTCTTTCACTACGAAGAATATCGGATAAAAATTCTTTTTCTTTTAATCTTTGTTTCCCTCTCTCATTATAAATTCAGTCATTTCTCTTGTATTCTATCTATATATAAAAGTAACGTCCATATTTTTCTGTATATGTTTTCTTTTAATCTGTAGGTAAATTCTAGACCTTTTGGATTCAAACTAATACTTTTAGACTCTGCATCCTTTACATTAGACTCTGCATCCTTTACATATAAGCTCAGTAAGGGTCCATATAGTTGGGTGGCCAAGAGTTAATAATGTGATAATTCCGCATCCAAAAAGATTCGATTCCTGACCTAAACCTACAGAGTCAAATCTTCCATTAGAAGGGAACCATCCCACTACCACTTCTTGGTTTTTATATATATTATACATGCAAGTTTAACGGTTGCGAGAAATGAGTCTGAGTCTCAGAGAAGAAGTATAATCAGAAGTGTAGATTGAAAGTTTGAAGTGTTTTTGGGAGAGAAAGAGTTAAACCAGAACCAAGTAGAGATTTGAGTCTTGGTTATTTAGTTTAGCTCAATCTCAATGAAAGCTTCAGTTTAGGTCATATATTAAGGGCATGTTCGTTTCCTCATCCGGATGAAAAAACGATATATTGTTCATTTTTTTCAATTATGCAAATGAGTTTAAATGTAACTAGATATGAGCATATAACCTTGATCCAAATTAATGGAAAACCCAAGATACAAGAATTAGACGCAAAATAACTAAATAAAAGTTGCATAAAAAAATACAAACTCATTTGGATGAAATCAAAATGCACCTTAAATAAAATTACTTAATTATGTGACTAACGATAAGCCAAGCATTTTAGATTACATAAAATTGATAACAATTAGACACGTTCTTTTATTCGGTAATGATCATAGATATAGATATGCTAAATAAATAAAAAAAATTAAATTTTAACGTGATAAACTTATAAAAAAACATGCTAAAAACTTAACCGTTTCGAAAAAGATAATTATTCGTAGGAAAATAATCATGTAATATTATATAATAGTATAGATAAAATTTCTCAACAAAACATTCAAGAATGAAACAATACTAATTATTTGTATACTTCAAAATAAAGTTTGTTCGATTTTTGATAAAAATGCATCTAAAATAAAATTACGTAATTATATGGAATCCTTTTTGGTGCCAGATATATGGAATCACTTTTTAATACCCAAATCGCGGATTTACTTTTTGACGCCTAACTCAAAATCAGGTTCTTCCACCGTAAACATAAAATACATTTTTTCCGCTAATACCGGAAAACCCATCTTCCCACCATAAATCCATCGCCAACGCCAAGTTTCTTGTGTCATAACCTTCTTTTGTTATTATTTCTTGAACTGCATTTATGCAGGGAGTTGTAACCACATACATAGTTATACTCACTTTACATTTTCCGTTCTCACTTCGAGAGCTTCTAAACATTGTAGCCTTTGTATTTCATAACCCCAAAAGAAGTCCCAACATTTGAAAACATCAAGCTAACCTGACGCTAAGAAAAAAAGATATTGATCGTAATTTAGTACTGATGAACATATGAAATCATTAATAATGATTATATGCTTATTAGAAAAATATAGTACAAATTGATTGTCGAGACAGATTAGGATGAATAAGGTGTTTAACCAATCGGCTGTTCGACCATTTAAAGTTTTTTTCTACATAAGCTTACTTTCTAAAAAAAGAATCCACCATGCAATAATTCTTTTGGGCAATCAAAAAATTGCGCATTTTTAACTACGAAATCTTTTTTTCTACACACCCCGACATTTCGAATTTCGTACTAATGATCTTGAACTTGAAGATTATTCCCAAATGACAAGCTAATGTATCACTTGAGTTACTGATATCTGCGTATACAAGACTTCTTTGGGGTATATTTTTTTTCATGGCTCTTAACTCAACATTCAAGATTAACTTGGTCAGAAGATAACAGGAGCGGGAAAAGTCTTAGAACTGACTTATCTTGAAAATACAATAAGTTGTATCGTTATCTGACTTTACGTTATGACTGTAATTAACTAATGACAACTTGTGGCAAATTTAATTGTCCCAACCATATATTTGACTTCTAAGCACTTAATCAGTCTATATAATAATACATACAGTTCTAACCATTACGTTTTAAGTATGATAACATTACTTCATCACCAAGCAAGCATGTGCCCATAACTCAGGGCAAAGGAAATATTCTAACCAAAACCTTTATATTCGGAATATTTATTTTTAGTAAAGAATCATACTTAGGTAACAGAAAACTAGACAAAATCTGGACTTTTCTCTTGGAATTGGATGTTTCGATGGCACGATATAGACTTGTTTGTTGGGGAATGCATGACCCACATTAGACTACGTGAAATGCAAAAGCTGACGTGGAGAAAACTGATTGGCGATATTGATTTCCACACATTTTGATTCAAGAATATACAAAATACGATGGATGGTCCAATTTTGTAAGATGTAAGATGATCTAATCGATGTTACTTAAATTAACAATTCATAGAAGCTAGTTAGTTGAGTAACTCTATATTGATTTTTTTTTGTTTGTTAATTACTGTGATTTTTCCCGGTTCTTAAATGAGTCAAAGCTTTGTACAATGAGGCTTCTACCTATAATATATCGTACACTTATTTAACTATGATTTGTTATCTCAAATGTCGGTGCTCGAATTTAGTCGTATAAGTGCATTATTACCCCCAAAACAAAAGTTTCATATAACCCTTTTGGCAAAACAAAAAACAAAACAAAAAAACACAAAAGTTTCCTATATAGTCAGTTAGTGTATAATAAAAAACTTTTGGGTCGCCTATAGATAAGCGATATTACCTTTTCAAATTTATAGGTATAACAATATAGGTCTTTTGTCCCAAATAAACACCAAAAAAATATAAGGTTTTGTATGTATTTAATATTTATGAATTTGTGAGAAGAAACCGAGACCACGTATGCCGAATAACAACGTACGCTTATGAAAAACGTTATGGGTTGTCGCATTAACTCAAGAGTCACGAGTCACGAATTTTGGCTACCAAGTCACAAAATTGTGGTTTATTTAGCATCACACGTGAACTTTCTTCGCGTATCCGAGAGAACTTTGCTAACCAGTTTTTTTGGGAACATTTTCCAAAAAATTTAAAACTTTTGCCCCATTTTTTTTGTTTCCTTCTAACGTGCGTATTTCTGATCTCTTATCATTTATTTGTTAAATCATTTACTAACCTTTCTTTCAGTTGCCCGTAGTTTTCACATGTCACACCCTCGAAAGTGACTTTTCCCACATCCTTGGTCCTCCATCTTCACCTAATTGTATATTAGACCCTGTATTTTGCAATTGTAAGTGTGTCGCCACAATTTTGAGGGACAATTGAAAATATATCCATCAGACTAAATTCGTTCGGCCAAAAAAAGTCCATCATCCTACATTTTAAATAACTAAATTTAGTTTCAAATTTAAAAAAAAACAAAAAATATAAAAATTTTATAAAAGACAAAAAAATAGGTAATATTTTGAATGTAATGTATGTAAATTCATACCACCGGTTGGACTCTCCAACCGTTCTAAGTATTTAAATTGTTGACAAAAAAAATTGATAAGGTTTTATATTATAATTAACAAAATATCCAATATTTTTTTAATTAACAAAATAATTTTAAGCTAAATCATAATTGATAAATTATAAACACTAAATATCAAACTCAAAATCTTACATAATCAACAAAAAGAAATAAACTAACACTATAAAATAAAATTTAAATCTGAAAATTGTTATTTAAATTTGTTTCTTTTAAATAGCTTATTTTATAAATTAGATTATGGATACAAACGTAGGTGGATATGCATCATATTCCAAAATTAAAAATTTTAAAAATTTGGTCCAGTTTTGTAAAACGTCAATGATCGAAACTATTAATACGACAAACTATCTTGCGAAAAAAATAAAAAATAAACATCCTATTTCTAATACGACAAGGAATTATGTTTGGTTGACAAATAAAAAATTTTAATCAGGAAAATGAGATAGAGACAAATTCGGGGGTTCTCTTCGCAATTTTGCATTTTCTATTTTCATAATGCAGACAGCTGTATCTATATATCTATATATATATGTATGTGCAGCTTCCATTTCGGAGAAACTATAATAACCTTCATCACTAAACAAAAAAAAAAGAACAAAAACTATAAAATAAATCCAGTTTTTACACAATTAAAGCGAATTAGAAGGTTATGGGTAAGCAGCACACAGACGCCGGAAACTTTGGCCACCGGGACGTCACGGTGGCAGAGATGGAAGCCTTAGTCAGCTTTTGCGAAGCGGTCTTGCCTCCAGTGCCGCCGCCGCCGGAAGAATTTTCCGGCGAGGATGATCACCACCGGAACAAAGAAGCTCTCCGGTCATTTTACTCGACTTCTGGATCTCAAACTCCCGTCGTTCGTCAGGTGCACAAAATTTTTCTTGTTTAATTATCCAATGTTCTGTTATCTAAATACCATTTTTTTCTTCTGCTAAATTTAATAGCTGTTTTTAAAATAGTCAAAGTTTGGATTTTGTTTTTTCTTTTTGATAACAAATTCTGGACTAAGTTTTAGTTTAATATCTGAGAGCAGTGGAAAAATCGTTTATTCTAGTCATTTTAGGCTTCCAAAATGGCCAATCATAATGGAAATCAAGAAAGTTCAGATTTTTTATATCATATGTTTTTGAGTAAAAGTCAACGACTCGTGTTCACAAGACTGGTTTATTATTGGATGATGCAGACCATTGAGTTGATCACTAAACGAGGGACAATCGAAGCTTATCTTATAACAAGACTTGTCCTGTTCTTGCTTGCTACTCGTCTTGGGACGTTACTCATTTGTGGGAGAGAATGTTTGGTCACGAAATGGCCTTTTGTCGAGAAATTCAGTGAGCTATCTCTGGAGAAGAGGGAAAGAGTATTTCAGAAACAATTCAAAAATTGGTTCTTTACTCCTATCAGAGCTGCTTTCGTCTACATCAAAGTCGCCTTCCTCTTCTGTTTCTTCTCCAGGGTATGTCCCAAATCCTCTGTTTTTCCACTTCAAGGCTTGTATGAGTCACAAAGATTCTGTGTATTTGTAATTTTGCCGTGTTCAATCTTGATAAACTTGGCAGCCTAATCGAAGATTCATGATATTTTTTGATAAAAAACCGGTTTCGATGTGACATTGAAACAATTATAACGGATTCATATCTAACCGAAATTAGTGAGAGAACTCGAATCAAAACCTAACTGAGATTTTGATTAAATGCATCTTTTACTCTGTTTTAAAAACAGAGCTACTTATATAAAGATTAAGGCCCCCTTCGTTTCTGTATCTGGATGCTGCATCTAGCTCCAAATGTCCAAATGTTATTCGTTTTTTCACTAAAAAAATTGCGTTCAGATGCAGCTATCTAGATGCAAATTGCTTAGCATCTCAAAAATCTGGATATTTTAGATGCTGAGAAATAGAGAATTCAGATGCAGCAATTGCATCTGGTTTAGGTAAAAGACATTAATGTCTTTACTAAAATAAAATTTTCGATTTCTACAAACATCAAAAAATTTTGATTTCCACAAACATAACAAAATCTTGATTTCCCGTTAAGACGAAAAATCGAGAAAATTTTGATTTCCCGCCAAAACGTTAATTCTTGGTTTCTCGCCAAAAACAAAAACTCTCGGTTTCCCGACAAAAAATCTCGATTTTCCGTCAAAAACGAAAAACTCTCGATTTCCCGCAAAAACGCAAAAACGCAAAATCTTGATTTCCCGCCCAAAAACACAAAATCTCGATTTCCCACCCAAAAACGAAAAATCTAGATTTCTCGTCAAAAACGCAAAACCTTGATTTCCCGCCAAAGACAAAATCTCGATTTCTCGCCAAAAACGCAAAATTTTGATTTCCCGCCAAAAACACAAAATCTCGATTTCTCACCAAAAACAAAAAATCTAGGTTTCTCGCAAAAAATGCAAAATCTCGATTTCCCGCCAAAAACGAAAACTTTCGATTTCCCGCCAAAAACGAAAACTCTCGGTTTCTCGCCAAAAATGCAAAATCTCGATTTCTTGCAAAAAACGAAAAATCTTGGTTTCTCGTCGAAAACGAAAACTCTCGGTTTCTGACCCAAAATCTTGATTTCCCGTCAAAAACATAATATCTTAATTTTTCATCAAAAACTCAAAATTCCAGTAAAATTTTTTCCCATCAAATATACAAAATCATGTTTTCCCACAAAAAATACAAAAACAAAAAATTTCATGTATTTAAACTTAATTTGATAAAAATATCATTTATTAAAAAAATAATTTAAAAATATATTTTTTTAAGTCTTCATTTGATACAAATGTATAATACATCCAACTATTTTTCTAAATTCACAAACGAATAATTTAATATCTAGACGTAACATCTTGATGCAAAACCTAGTTTCCAAAACAAACAATATCTAGATGTTGTATCTAGATGTTGTACCTAGATGTTGTATCAAAAAACGAACAGGGCCTAAAGCTTTACTAAATTTGCTGTTGCTTTTATGTAGGTGAGTCCAAATGGAGAAAACCCGTCATGGGAAGCCATAGGATATCGCGCGAACCTCGATCAGAAAAAACCTTCTGAAACTCAAAAAGAAAGACCTTTAGAGAAAGGGATAGTGGAGACGATGAAAGAAACAGAGCAAACTCTCCTCGAATCACTTGCTCAGAAAGGCCTAGAAGCTGACGCAGACCACGATGCGATCACCATCAAATGCGACGCTGTTGTGGTCGGATCTGGTTCAGGAGGAGGCGTGGCGGCTTCAGTTCTAGCAAAATCTGGTTTAAAAGTGGTTGTTATGGAGAAAGGAAGCTACTTTACGGAATCGGATTATCCTCCTTTCGAAGGTCCTGGCATGGATAAACTGTACGAAAACGGAGGGATTCTCCCTAGCGTCGACGGGAATGTCATGATCTTGGCTGGATCAACTGTAGGTGGTGGATCTGCTGTGAACTGGTCTGCGTGTATCAAGACGCCTAAATCGGTTCTTCATGAGTGGTCAGAGGATCAAAAGATACCTCTTTTCGCCACCAAAGAATACGTTTCGGCTATGGAGTTGGTGTGGAAGAGGATTGGTGTCACGGAGAGATGCGAAAAGGAAGGTTTTCAGAATCAGATTCTGAGGAAAGGTTGCGAGAATCTCGGGATCAATGTCGAAAACGTTGCTCGTAACTCATCGGAGAAGCATTACTGTGGTTCTTGCGGGTATGGATGCAGACAAGGAGAGAAGAAAGGAAGTGACCGGACTTGGCTCGTGGACGCTGTGAGTCACGGCGCTGTGATACTAACGGGATGTAAAGCGGAGAGATTCATACTCGAAAAGAACAACTGTAAAAACAGAGGAGGCAAGAAGATGAAATGTTTGGGAGTGATGGCTAAATCTTTAAACGGAAACATATTGAAGAAGATCAAGATCGAAGCTAAAGTAACGGTTTCTGCAGCTGGTGCTCTTTTAACACCTCCATTGATGATCTCTAGCGGTTTGAGAAACCGACACATCGGTAAAAACCTTCACTTGCATCCTGTTCTAATGGCCTGGGGTTACTTCCCGGAGAAGGCATCTCCTAATTCAAACTTCAAGGGAAACTGCTACGAAGGAGGGATCATAACGTCAATGAGCAAAGTGTTATCTGAAGATTCAGAGGTTAGAGCCATCATAGAGACACCAGCGCTAGGACCGGCTTCATTCGCGGTTTTATGTCCTTGGATCTCAGGGCTTGACATGAAGAAGAGAATGTCTAGGTACTCAAGAACAGTGAATCTGATAACGATAGTTAGAGATCGAGGGTCAGGAGAGGTGAAAACGGAAGGAAGAGTAAGCTACGTTGTGGATAAAACCGATAAAGAGAATCTCAATGCAGGACTTAGACAGTCTTTGAGGATACTGATTCAAGCTGGAGCAGAAGAAGTTGGAACTCATAGAAGCGACGGGCAGAAACTGGTGTGCAAAGGGGTTGATGAGAAGTCGATAGAGGAGTTTTTGGACTCTGTGAATGCAGAGGAAGGACCAAAGGCGATGACAGAGAAATGGAGTGTGTATAGCTCAGCTCATCAGATGGGAAGCTGTAAAATTGGAGAAGATGAAGAAGAAGGAGCGATAGATTTGAATGGAGAGAGTTGGGAAGCTGAGAAGTTGTTTGTGTGTGATGGAAGTGCGTTGCCTAGTGCTGTTGGTGTTAATCCTATGATCACAATCATGGCTACGGCTTATTGTATCTCCACAAGAATCGCTAAGTCCATGACCACAAGTTTATCTCATTGAAGCAAGAAACTTGCATAAAATTAGATTATAATGTGTTGTGATGTTTGTAATGATAATAGTGGCTTTTTCATTTTCGGTTAGTGGTTGAATTTTATCAACAAATAAATTTCAAAGAAGAAGTCTTTGATTTGAGCAAATAGTGACATTCTTTATTAGAAAAGAAGAGCTGAACATTAATCTCGAATCAAAATTTACAGAGAAGTTAAATTGTCTTTGTTCGTTTTAGACTTGGAATGTTTTACAAATCAAGAATCCATTAGTCCCTTGTTTTCGATTTTTTCAAGGATAAATGGTTATCCAATTTCCGGAGTTTCTCCAAAGATTTTCTCCGATTATGGCTACATCGATGCAAAAGTTGGTTTCCTTCTTATATCTTGGAACCTGGTTCGAGACTAAACCCTCCAAATCTTTGACGTTTAACCGTCTGAGTCCATGTCACGAAACGGTAACGGTACAGTCTTCACTGCCCTAAAGTGACCGACGTTATTCAGATGCTCATTCTCCACTCTGTAATCACATAATTAAAATCAATTTTATACTTTAATAACATCCAAAATCAAGTTTAACAGAAAAAATTTTAAACCTAGGTGAAGTCTTTTACCTATAGAAGTTCCAGTGGCCTCGACGAATGACTTCACATGACGCCAATAAGAAATCTAGCAAATGAGACTGAACAGGATTGACCCTGAATCTTATTATTGTCTCGATCCAAGCAACTCGCAATACCAAATTCAATGCCTAAACCAAAATACCAAACAATTAACATCGGTTCTCAGCAGTTTAGTAAAAGAACTTAACTTGTGAAACACGTAAGAAAAATGATGCGATTTGACTTACAATCGAGAGATAGTAGATGTTCTTGTTCTTGAGAACTAAATCATCTCTTAGCCATGGATTTTTGGATTTAGGGTTCAAAAGACCCCAATCCTTGACAAAGTCCCAGTATAACTGGTAAAGCGTGGCCACGACCGAGCTCACAAGCACGACGGCTAACCACAAGTCGGTGTTTTCTCTTGCATAGGTTATGCGGACTCCGGCTGCGACCATTGCCGAAACGTATTTTCCCATGTTGACTAAATGATCGGTGTTGGATTCGTCCCACCATCTCCTTATGCACTGTGAATTAATGTTCATAATGTTTATTGCAAAATTTTTAGGGTTTTGGGGGAAAAAGGTAAGAAAACAAAAAACCTAAGCGAGCTTACTTGCATGGCACGCCAGAAGTAAGGCGAGAAAGAGATTAAGTAAGCTAGCTCTCTGTAGATTCTTCCGTTTTTGCACGTATTATATTCGTGTGTTCTGAAGCTTTGAGCCATGAAGTAACATGCGGTTGACTCAATATGTCTCAGCAGTGGAATCTGAATTGAATATCAATAAGGTAGAACGCGATTAGTGGCTAAGTATTAACTAAATTTCCAAAGCAATTTGAAGATATATTAGTTAGTTACCTGGCTTGTAAGTTGATCAGCCATGAAAAAATCAACCATCAAAACCTGTTCCGTACAAACCCATCAAAAAAAAATTCACGTTTCTGCAGATTTCTTGTGCTGTAACCTAAACAATTGGATCCAGTTGTTACCTTGTAGAAAGGTGAGCAAACGATGTTCCTCAAAATGCGAATGAAGCAGAATCTTGTGGGACGATAAAATGTGTCGAAGGGGCATATCAAGACACAAATGAAGATCTGTCACACACCAAAAAGAATAAAGATTCAGCGTTTTAAATAGCGATTGCTGTTGAAACGCCAGATAATGATAATTAACTAATTGAATTACCAGGAGGAGGACGCCAGGGATTGTGTCGACTTGGCTGGGGGAGAAACCGGCGGCTCGGAGGATAAGATGTATGACCATAGCGGCCACGACTGCGGTCATAAACGTGGTTCCCATCAGAAACGCGTCTCGGTAACGCAACGCTGTGTTGGGTGAGAACTCGAATATAAAAGTGTAATTTATCCTCGTGCTCTTCCACATGAACAGATTGCATCCGTACATGAACATGTGTAGACTCAGCAACGCAAAAACACTGCATTAAAAAAAATTATTCAAATTATCAAAATAATTTTAAAAAAAAATTCCAATATAAATCTTTTGTTCACTCGACTATTTGAATTCATGTTGCTAACGGTTCAGAAATCTGGAAGTACCGAAAAAAATTTGTATTTTTTAAAATAAAAAACAATTATAAATAAAATACCTGAAAACAGGATAAACAGTCTCCAAATATGAAACTTGAGCACCAGAAGTGAAGATTCCAGAAAGATGGGCCAGTATTATGTAGATAGTAAACAATGAGACGAAGCAACCCGTAAATAATCCTGCCAAAACAAAATTTTCAGTTTGTTAAAATTTATGGTCAATTTTTTTATTTATTTAAAAACATAAATAATAAAAAAGTGGTGAAAGAAACAGAAAATAAAATAGTACCAACAAAGAAAGTGACCATGTGAGAATCTTTCTGCTGGTGGGGTTTCAAGAATTTCATGGCCCTTTTCCTGTCATTGTTTGCGAAGTGCTTTGTGAATATGGACTCCACTTCGTCCATCAGTCTTACAACCTTGTTTTTTATTTTATCAAAAACCACCAAGTATATCTTTTAGTCTTTTTATATAATTGATTTACTATAACATTACTAAAATATATAAACCTCCTTTTATTTCACTCTTTATAATACCTTATCAGAGCTAATAAATTGCGATCTCTTTACGACTTTTAGATAACTTGATGATGCGTGCTGACCAGAAACCTGTTGGTCCATAATATATCAAGATTTATCATTAAGCACTATAGTTATTATATTATTTTCTGTCAAAATATATCAAGCACCATCTGTAGCTACTCTAGTTTACCTTATCGAATTTCTTCAATATTTTTGTAAAAGCAATCATATTCAACGAGCTACCAGAAAAAAACCAAGAATTAGAATCATAGGATAATAATATATGATTAAAAGAAGTGATATTGAATAATGGGAAATATACCTGTATGTCTTTAGCAAGCCAAGACCTCTATAGAGCTCAACAAAAGCTTTTCGTATCATCTTCTCGGCGCATTGGATCTTTTTCCGGTTGATGAAATCTCCTCCGCCGCTTCTTGGGTTGTTAACAAGCTCTTCCCAGAGAACCGACGTGGCGGTAGCGATGGATCTTGCACCGCCACCGTCTGCTCCGGCTACGGCGTCGGGAATATCAACGCGGAGAGACATTTTGGGTTTGCCTCCTTTAGTTTTGCTCCTCATTGCAGAGTTTATGAAACTCACACCGTTCCTCTCTAATGCCTCTATGATTTCGTCTGTTCTTGATGTTTCACTTTGTGTCTCACTTAGCTCTCCTGGAGACCCTAAAAAAAAAGAAAAAAAAAAGATTTATTTTCTTAGCTAACAACGAAAAACATAAGATCTAGAGATGAAGAAGTTTTTTTGTTTTTTTATGTGTCCTTCTTGTCCATATGTAAAGATCAACTCTTGTCGGTCTATTTTTATTCTCTTACTCGCAAACAAATTCTATGTTTGTTTGTAGAGTCGATTTGTGTTCTCATGTTCTTGTCGGCCATTAAATAGATGTCGACATAAATTATCAACTCTATAATTCTTTCAAATTTGCATCTTCGAGTTTTCCATCCACAAGGCAGAAATATTCATAAGTTTAACACAATGTTGTCATTCAATAAAGATTTTTATTGTGCCATTATAAATAAACATTTCGATTGTGCTTAATATAAAAAACATACGAATTACCTGATAACTTTTAAGAAAAAATATTTGTAACGTCAATTGTGTTATTTAATATATTAGTATTAAATAGCCTATTGCTACAAAAATAATATTAAATAGCCTACTTTTCTTTTTACTAGCCGCACTACGTAAATCGGCCTTTAGGACATGCACTTTTGTGGTTACTAATGGGGTGCAGACCACGTCATAGCTCAGATATATAAATGGTGGCTTTTAAGAGTCTATGTCAAATCCTGAAGTTACTAAAATACCCTCAATCTGACCTAACTTGTATTAAAAGCCTTAAAGAAGAAGACTGACCTGCAGAGAAATCAGAGCTTCGAGGAGAAGAATTGAAGGAGCTGCGATGTGAATTAGAGCCAGATAGGTTTCTCTTCTTCCGATCACCTAGGATCTGTTTGAGTTCTGCAAGAATGTCTAATTGTTTCTTCAGAATCTCTCCTCTCCCCACAAACTCTGTCTCTTTGGACTTGTGAAACTGATTCACTTTGTTTAGTTCTTCATCCAATCTTGCGAAGAACAGTTTAACCTAAAGTAGCAATAAAAAAAATAATTCAAATACTAAATCAAACAATTATGCATTAAATATTTTGACCATCTTCATTAAGAAAGTGGGTGTTATGCAACTTATGCTAGCAATAAAACCACTATCTATGTGTGCTATATCTAAAGCCGTTTATTTATTTTGCTGCTTTTCCAAAGCAAGAAATAAGAATCCGTAATATTAAAAATACTGATGGTGATATGAATAAAGAAAACAATAACTCAATAAGTCCACCAAAAAACTAAGTCATTGTTTCTTGTTTGCATAAAAAAAATGAGTTAGTAGAAACTAGAAATAAAGACATCACAAACTCACAAGTCATCACTCATCACCTTCAAAAATATGGCTAGTATTATAGCATCAGAATAATAGACTAATATTATGTTTCATCGTCATAAATGAAATTATACAAAAAGTGAAAAATATTATTATACCTCGTCCTCTTCGGAAAACAGCTGAACAAGTTCAGTTTGGTAAATCTCCTCGACGTCTTCATCCCCATTTTCTGAGCTTTTTCTTCTACGCACCTGTAAATTCGCGAAAAAATGACATAATATTGATATTTCAATTAATTCAATCCAACAAACCATGTCAATATCATATTAATCTATTTTTGATGTATTCTTATACGTGTCATTGAATTGAATGTTTTGAGGGTGGTGACTTGTGAGTTCGTTATGTCTTTATATAATTTTTTTTCGTCACGATGGTTTCGTGAGATATCACAATCTTCACAACCGTTATTCGCATCTTGGCTTTCGTGAGACTATGAAGAAAAAATAACCTCATTTTGGAATTGGTGATCACAAAATTCTAAGCTAAGATGTAGAGTAGTAATAGGGT